GTGGAAGTGAGAGTGGAAGTGAGAGTGGAAGTGAGAGTGGAAGTGAGAGTGGAAGTGAGAGTGGAAGTGAGAGTGGATAAAGGGGCTAGCGATAGGACGCACATTGCTGTCACTAACTTAGTGAATCGAGGTTCAAACATCAAGCGAGACGACGTGTTGCAGTCCCCTGTCGTATGTACAGCAGTCTATCCGTCTGTCTATATGTGCTTCATTCATGCCTCGTCATCGCCCTGCGCCCGTCGACTGCGCGCCATCCAGTGCGCTCAAGCTCGGGTACCGCTGGGAGAAATCTCGCAGGTAGTCATCCTTCTGATCAGCGCTCATATCCAAAAGAGGCTGACCAGGCAAGTCCACTGCGACCAACTGCTCTGTTGCCGTAGCAGACGCCTGAGGTGTGGCTGCTGGCGATGGCAGGTTGCCCGTGGGGATGCTGTTGAGGTGCATCGGTTTCCGCGGAGCGGCTGGCTTCGGTTTGCTGGGAGGCAGAGATGGGGGTGCAGACCAAGTTCCGGAATGATGGCTCGCGGCATGGGGAGCGGACACTGCTGCCGCCGGCTTGGAGGAGGCCATGGGTTTGCGAGGGACCTCTGGCAGAGGCTTTTCGACCTTGGCGGCAGCGTCCGAGTACTTGCCGTACCCTTCGGCTGTCTTGCGTACAGAACCACTCTTCTGCTCTTGCAACAAGTTCTGCACTCTGTTCTGGATGCTCATGGCCCTCGGGGGTGGACCGGCATTCCGGGGCCCAGACTGCGAGGCCGTCGCCGAGGGAGCTGCACTAGGCGTGACACGCTTGCGATATTCAGCTTGCGCAGCCTCAACCCTCTGCTCTTCCTCCTCCAGCTTTCGCCGCTCCAGTTCACGTCGCGCCTCCGGCGTCATGGCATCGACGTCGCGAGAGTGGCCATCCTCGCTTCGATCATCCGTGACCTCTGAGCCTGCAATGGGCGTCAAGTCACGACGGTCGTGTTCCTTGAACGGAGAGGGCGTCCGCGCGGAAGAGGACGGGCTGCCCTCAAACCTCTTGAACGCGTCACCAAACTTGGTGGCGAGCATATTCCGCCCTCCAGACAAAGACTGCACGCTCGATCGCTTGGCGTTCTTGGACTTTTCCATGTCGCTGCCGGATCCCTCCATGCTTCGAAGGAACTCGAGGTTATCACTCTCGGGCTGATTATCATCGTCGGCCGGTGGGGGAATGGGCGAGACCGCTTGCGAGGAGGGCCGGCCCGACATACGACTCTGCGGACGCGACGCTTCCCGTTCACGCAGGTAGTCCAAAGTCGTTGTCTCGAAATTCATGCTCTGCGGTCTGGAGCGCTCAACATTCGGTACATTGGTTGGCGTGATGTCTAGCAAGTCTGCTTGCGGGCGTTTGGGCTCCGTCGTGGCTTGAGAGACGGGCGATGATCTACCCTGGCTTGACTGCGACTGGAGCGAAGTGACCCGTGACAGGACGTTCATGTTCGCGTCGGGCGGCGGCTGAGCGGTCACGTTTGCCGGGCTCGCCTGTCGCGTCGGTAGACTTGAAGACCGCGGGGACTCTGACGCTTGAATCTGCGCGACGCGATGTGCAGTCCGAACTGGGGGCTCATACTGCAGGTCAGATGTTGACGTGCCGATAGACACGTATCGAGAGCTTGCTTGGCCCGAGATAGCCTGCAGATCCGGGTCGCTGCGAATAATCGATTGGGCTCTGCTAATGTCTTGTTGTGCTTGAGCGGACGCTGATCTGGACATGGCTTCGCCATGCTGCGAAACGGCGCGGGGGGCTACGCTTGCCTGAACTACAGACTGGGGGCGTGAGCTTGGCGCACTAGGCTGAGGAGGGCTTCGACTTGAGGCAAACACCTCGTCGGCTAGATGCTCAGATACGCGTTGGTTCAAATGGTCCCTCTTGGACGCTGCAGCGGAGGCCCCTGAATCGAAATCATGTTTCGAGCCCGAATCATGCAGTAGCGAGAATTGGTCGAGGGAGGGGAATCGCGATGCGAACTCGTCCGGCTCGCCTGGCCTCGTGGTTCTGGGGGATTTAGTGTCTAGGGCTGCGAACGGGTCCCCGCTCGCCGGCTGCGGAGGTTTCGAAGGCTGCGATGCAGCCGCAGGGCCTGGCGAAGGTATCGGGCGGCCTCGCCTCATGGGAGTGACCTCTGGTATCTTTGGTTTCTCTTCCACAGGCGGCGAGAACACCGCGCCAACTGGCTTGTTCTCCATTGAAGGTGCTTTTGCCGGGGCTTGCGCGCTGGATTGTTTACCGCCTGCATAGATCTTTTCTTCCAGTCAGCATGTGCCTCGTACAGAACATCAGTTCCACTCACGTCGTGGATAGGGACTTCACGGCCCTGCAGCGCACAGGCCTCCTTCAGGACTTGGTAAATATTCGGCCGGCTTTGTAGGTTCTCCCTCAGCATAGATGCTGCAGATGGTCAGCACAACTCCCACCCCTCCAGCAGAAAGCTTACCAATCAGGCCTTTGAGCTTATGCGAGAAAGCTGGAGCCGGAGGAAATTTATAGCTAGCGTTAAGAATGGCGAGCTGCCCTTGGTCCTCGAACGGAGTCGTGTAATAGCAAAGCTTGTATAAAAAAACACCCAGGGCCCAGATGTCTGACTTCTCGTTGAGCGGCTGTTTTCGATACACGTCGACCATCTCCGGGCTTCGATACTGCAGTGTCGTATGTTTTTGCACGTCCTCGTCCATCAATCGACATTCCACCACGGACGTGGGCGCAGGCGAGGGCGGGGCCGAAGAGCCAAAGTCGCAGAGCTTGAATCGCTTGCTAGAGCCCTTTGTCGTTGTAATGAGCACGTTTTCAATCTTTAAGTCGCGATGAAGCAAGGGCGGCTTCAGGTAGTGCATGCATGCCACGCCCTCGGCCACGTCGCAAAAGATGTTGAGAATCTCGGGCTCGGTCAGCCGGTGCTGGAGTCGCGTGTTCATAAAGTCAATCAGGCCGCCGCCGCCGCAGTACTCCATGAGCAGGAACACTTCGTAGCCTCCTCCCTTGAGCTCGCTCGCATGGGAGTCGATGTACGAGACGATCATCCGATGGCCCTTGAGCCGCTTCATCGTCTCTACCTCGGTGCGCATGCTGCGCAGGTTCTCCTTGTCGGGCACCGCCACCCTCTTCAGGACTGCCAGGTCCGTCCCGTCGACTGGTTTTGGTAGCTTGACCAGGTACACATGCGCGAACCCGCCCTCTGACAGGTATTTCTGTATCACGACTCGATGGCCGCCGACCTGGATCTTGGTGCCAGGCTGGAACGTGCCGGCAGGAGCTGCTGGGCCTGGCGCAATGGGCATTGGCGCCTGGTACGCCCCGTGACCAGCATGCCTTGGAGCCGCACGTCCCCCCATCTGGTGTCCGTGTGAAGCCATTGTATGGCTGGTGTACAGCCGGGCGTCGACCGTGGATATCGTGAGGTTGGTCGTACTATCCGGAGGCGACGTGGTTGTCGGGTGACGTAGGCGGTCGACTGCCAAGGTGGTGGTGGGTGGGTGGTGCGTATCCCAAGTCCCAAAGAGAGGATCGGGCGGCGCTCGAAACGAGCTCGTTCAGATCATCAGGAGGCGGCGAGGCAGGTATGTCGAGACAGCTGTCCTCAAGAAGACCGCATTGCCTCCAGTATGCGCCCTGTGAATACGTGTAGTGCCTCCGGTCGTGAAGGGCGAGGCAGCAATGGAAAGTCGGCCAGGAACAGGGGCGGCTTGCTGGTCGGTCAGTCCACGATAGAGGCATCCAGTTCCAGGCAGCCAGCCAGGGAGGCGAACCTCAACCAGCGGCCCCTGTGGCGCGGTCTCAGCCTCACATCGTTGTTAGACGCGTCTCCCCGCATTGCGGACCCACATCGCAGTCGGGCAATGCTCGGTTAACAGTAGTCCAAGAAACAACCTTCACCACTACGTACGCGGGTAGTTTTACGTTAAAGATGGGCAGGCATATTAGGTACGGAATTGCAGCCGAATGGCAGCCGAATGGCAGCCGAATTGGGAATCTGTCAAGTAACATGTCTTACCATGTCCTTCGCATAAAGCCGGTTGAGAGAGGCTCCAACCAAAACATGAGCTTCTCAGGTATGTCGAGAGGATCGCGGGGCCCAGTGACCAATCAAAATCCATGTATCGTAGCTGGACGGCGACCTAGAATCTATTCTGCTTCGCTAATAGTGCTTCAGCAGACAGAGGGAAATGGAAATTCTGTTCCCCTTGCAGTAGTAGCAAGGCCCCCTTTTATCATTTCCATGGTGGTTGGTGAATAATAGTCGGAATCCGGACGTGGCAGAAACGGGGTTCGGCATTGCTCAGATGCGTCCCAATGTGATTTGTCACACAGTGAAAGAGCGTCACCGGTCACCACCTGCCAAGTTGCTGGACTGGCAACCTCATGCCATCGATCATGCACGCTTACTACCGCGCTGTCGGTGCCGTTCGATGAATAGCACTGTACAGTGTCCCATACACCAGGAATTCAAAATCCTTAGCTGCCACTGTGGCCTGTACGCTGGAGCCTTCAGGGGCCTGCGTCCCTTGAAATTTCGTCGAAGAAGCGTTGTGCGCCCCGTCTTGAACCACCCCACCAAATCCGGTGGTTGCAGCGCGATATCAAAACACCATCATGACCCCTGCTCTGGACGCCCAGGCAGGGCCAGACACAGGAGATGCTCCGCTCAAGCAAGTGTCTCGGGGGCCGGATGCCCAAGGTTTCGAGCCACTGGCTTGCGTCTCGTGCCGAGCCCGCAAACTCAAATGTGATCGAACCAGACCAGCTTGCACTCGATGCACCAAAGTCCAGAACGACTGCGTGTATCCCGAGTCTCGCAGGAAGCCGACGTTCAAGAGGCGCAATGTGAAAGAACTCGAAGCCAGACTAGGTTTGTTGTAGCTCATTGGCAATGGGTGTGATAGTCAGGCTAAGTGAGAATCGTTAGTTCAAGTCGAGGACTATCTGAAAGAAGTCACACACAATGGCGAGCAAGAAGGTCCAGAGTCTGGAGACTCCAACGGCAGCAATGGGGCGTTCGACTTCAACGTACAGAATGCTCAGGCCCAGCAGGGCCGCATGGCAGACATGCCTCTCAACAATGGCAGCGCCGAGAATCCTGCATCGTTCGCTAAGTCGCAGCTTCTGGGTATGGGCTACTCAGAAAGTCTGCCGCCTTTCGAGATCATGGAGGAGTTGTGCGTGACACTCGTCAATTGCCAAGTCTTCTCGGGCTAATGACCGTGTTAGAATCAACATCTACTTCAGTACACAACATCCGCACATGCCCATCATTCACCCCAGCAGGTTCTACCAAGGGTTCTACGGCGGTGCGATGCGGAGACCTCCCATGTGTCTACAATACATCATGTGGGCTTGCGCAGCACAGTTTCACCCCAAGTATGATGAATACAGCGAGGTCTTCTACCAGCGAGCGCGGCAGTACATGGACGTGGACGAGATGAAGGCAAGTTTTCCGCAGCGCTGTGGAACCCTTTGCTTGCTTGTACTGATATATGCGCAGGGCTCCGGGGAACATTTTATTACCATGGCTCACGCTCAGGCGTACGCACTGCTCGCCCAGTTCGAGGCGAAATGCATGTATTTTACCCGCGCCGCCATGACTTCAGCCAAATGTGTCCGTCTGGTGCAGATGATGGGCCTTGATCGCCTTGATGGTGAACAGGACGACCTGCCACCCGCACTTCCGCCGGCTACATCGTGGATCGAGATGGAGGAGCGTAGACGCACGTTCTGGGGCGCCTTTGCGATTGACTCTCACGCATGCGTGTCCACGGGTTGGCCTAGCTTGATTGTGAACGCCGATGTAAGTGATGGATGGTTTAGGTTTGCGCGAGTTGGTTGACGCTCATGCCAAGCAGATCACCACTAGACTACCTGTTTCCGAGGAGGCCTTTACATCTGGCCTGGAGCAGGTCGCCCCATTTCTGGACGAGATCTTCCATGGCGCAACATACGAGGGATTTGCCGGACCGATCGTCATCTGCCGAATATTCAAGGGTATCATGCACCACGTACACCGCTCAAAACCCAGAGACCAGCCTGAAGACCTCCTCAACGGGGCTTTCTGGAAGCGCCACCGGGAACTCGATAATGAGTTTCTCAGCGCCTTCATGTTTCTGCCCGAGCAGTTCCGCCTGCCTCGGAATATCCGAAACCCCATGGCTCTGCACTTGAATCTCAACCTGCATGCCTCGGTCATATGTCTACACCATGCGGCGGTGGAGAAAGCCGAGAAATTCGGACACACGGACACAATCAAAGCGAGCGTCGGCCGCCTGAAGAACGCTGCCGACGAGGTCGTGAGCATTGCACGGCTCACAGCGCACAACACTTCCATTTTCGTGAGTCACCAAAGGATGGTTGCATGCGAGACCTGGGCTCGAGTCTAACCTTGACGTAGAAGAATCCTCTCTCGTCTCTATCCCTGTACTGCGCCACTACAGTATATGTTTACATGGCCAAGACAGACATTCGACATGGCTTCGATGCAATCGACAAGGCCAACTTTGAAACGCTCATCCAGGCCATGGAGGCCATCGCCCGGGTTCATCAAATCACCAGAGCCTTTCTACAGCAGGCGTGTCTCGACATTGAGCGGAACGGCCTGCTGTCTGTCATTGAATCCCCCTCTCTGGACAAGTACAGGGACAGCTTTGGTATGGCCGGCTCCAATATCCCCATGTTGGCGCGCAGTTCAGTTGGCCGGCACACCAAGGTCCCTCCCGTACTGCCCGGGAAGCTACCGCTCGACAAACCGGAGGGTCGGGTGCGACCGGCGAAGCTCCGCTTGTCCAACCCGAACTGCAGCGTTGCCTTTGCTGACGACAACCACAAGGATGGATCGCAGGTCAGCTTCAACCCGTCCCTAGGGGCTGTCACACGCAACATTGCTATTGCGCCGACGGCAGATCTCAATATGATGTACAGCAACAAGCGAAAACGGCCATTGGATATACCAGGTTCATCGGGCGTCGTTGACTTGCCTGGAACGGACAAGACCAGCTTTGCATCAAACGCCCTTCCAAATAGAAACACCAGCTCCAATCCCGCCACCACCACTGGAGGCCAATTGGTCAACAACATGCTCGGCTCCGTGGGGATGGGTTCTCACAGCATGCTAGGGAACAACATGACACTACCAGATCGAACGACGCCCTCATCCTCCGCATCCCCACTGCCGCCGCAGACCTTCTCCGTGGGACGTGCCGAGACACAGTCAGGAAGCAGTGAGGAATCACCACAAGGCACGACTGGTCTCGGGAACACGGTCGAGGAGAATCGTTTCGACTTCCGTCCCTTTGCAGGCCGTGTCGCTACGCCCATCTGGCCAGACCTCACCGACGACTTCTTCCACGACATGGTGCAGGACGCACTGTCCTCGCAGAACAACGGCGAATCCCTCGACTTCTTTGGCGATCCCAATTGGGCAGGCGGACACATGCCAGGCTGAACGCGCGCGCCACTTGCGCGTCTATTTTTGGGCGTTTTGGACATACTTCATCTCTCTAACATACTCGGATCTCTTGCATTGGAAAGGAAATACCCCATGTATATTTTACGCATTTACGGCTTTCAGGCCGATACGACGACGTTTCCACAGTGAGGATCAACTTTCTACTCATCTCAGGCTATCTATCTACCTCAACTGTATCCGTACAATCTTGCGTGCAATGGATCGGCTCGACTCAGACGTTGTTAGTGCTTGCCAAGAGTCCAAGACGCAGTGCGACCAACAGCGACCAGAAGTCTACATATTCCACTGCTCCCCTACGCTAGAGCCGTTAGGGACACCGGCCCCGATGCATGACAAGTGTCAGGCTGTCAATCCAATTAGCGGATGCGCCTGCGCGTATGCCACCCACGCACGACTAACAAAGTTTCCGAGGGGGCGCGGCGTGCGTGCATCTATGTGTCCGTTGGGGTGACGCCACTACGCACTACTGTACGTACTACGGGCCCCCGACACATGTCGCTAAGACCTCCTAAAACGCGTACAGCACATATCTGCGATGATGCAGCAAGATAGGAAAGGTCCTAGTACTGGTCCATCTAGCTTGCCATCATCTAGCGCAAGCTGAGCCGAGATGGACGTCGCTCGCCTGAGGATCGACAGCGGAATTCGGGACAGCTTAGGCTGTTGGTTGGACAGTCAGTACATGCCTGTGCCGCGGCGCCAGCTGCTTGATCTGAGCACTCCCTACTTTGTATTGCTTGATTTCGGTATTGGCATGTCACTCGGCCCAGGTCAGGCCAGGGCAGGCCCAGTTGTCGTCCATGGACCATGGCCGCGGACCTGGACAGACAGACGCACGCTACCTGACTGTGCAAGGTCCTGAGAGATGAACGACAACGACAAAGCAAAAGTGTGTATGCAGACCTGCGCAGCTTTCGACGTGATGCCATGTGGTGCATCGGAGGAGGCGAGATCGGATCTTCCTCTCACGCACGCACGCACGCGGCCACATGTTCATCCTTTGGAAGATCTCAAGGAGCGACTGTGCACAACAAGTTACCCCTTATGATTGCCTGAGGTTCAGTGTACCTACTGTACGGAGTACATGCACACACATGCACAAAGGACGGCGGCGATCAACCACCAAGATGTGAAATGACAGACATGGGACCCCCTTCCTCTCCTCCGTCGTCCGCCACCCTGGTCCTGAACCAGGTCGGCTGGGATCGTTGGCACGCGCCACTCATGGACCTCGACAGGGGGCCTCCCTCCCGCTTGTCAACATCTAACGATCTCCCTGACAGGGTGGCCTGTCACCTTCCCATGCCTCTTCTCCAGTCCGAAAATTGTCGGTGGCAGCTGGGCCACTGGAATTGTCAATCACCGCACCGCACCGCCAGGGTGCGCGGAGACGTGCAGGTAAGCAGGCAAGCAAGCATTCATCAATTCCACTTTAATCTGTTCCATATCTGCACCTGGATCAATCTGGCTATGCCAGCAATAATCACATAAACATCATTATCGTCATCGACCTCGAGACCGCGCGCAGGCGGCGCGCGGAGAGCACACCGCTGTGAGCGTCCCCTGAGATCCGGTGTCCTGACCACCGAAAATGACCGCGTGCCCTCGTCCAGTTCCAACACGCATGTCGCGCAGACTACCGATACCGACCGAATTGTCTGAGCTAAGCCGTCTGACAGGCGGAACTGTCCACTGTCCACACCCACTTGGGCCGCGGGCGAGAGCAAAGGCTAGATCGTTTCCAGGCTCCACGACCGAATGACACTCACATCGCTCCACTCCGCCGTCTGTCGATCCCCAGCTGAACTGCAGGGATTCTTCGGCATCCGCCGCTTCACACGCCCCCCTCCTCCTCTTCCCTAGGCTCCTCCTTTTCGGGTACCCACTCACCCATTTCCCGTCCATCTGACGCTAGGTATTCTAGCTCGGGACCCTTTGGCAGCTTCAGCTGTCGCTGGAGTGCGTTTCGTGGGAATGGATTGGTGCATGTCTGCAGCACACGCAGCGCAGCGCAGATCGTCGTGCTGTAGACGACGTTTGCCGTACATCATTTGTTGACAGCTTTAATTCGACTGGCGATCACAGCATGGAGTTGGAAAGAGGCCAGTCGACGATGACTCAGTAGCGCCGAATTTTTTATTTCCGAAGAGACATGGGAGCCAGAGCTGGCGGCGTGAGGCTCGACAACACGATCCAGAGACAACAGCGCGGCGCCGCTCCGTCAGCCGGCATGATGACCAGCACTGACCGATGGCCACGAGTCTTGTCTCAGGTGGACATCCTGCAGAGACGAGCGGCTGATGTGTCTTCCCGCCCGAGTGGCGTCCGGCACAGGTGGACGGCCAGCAGTCACTGACCGGCTGTATGGTATCGACTGAAATGCAATCCATACCTGTGAATACCGTGGCTCGAGTCCTGTCGGGCCTGTGCAGCTGCTCATATGCGCGCCGTGTCCGACCCGGCCACACTTGTGTTCTCGAACTGAAAGATGATGAGAGATGGCGAACGACAAGCCCACGACAGTGCAGGGAGGCGAGGAATGGTGCGCCAGTTCGAGCGTCTAATCTGGCGTGTCTTTGAGCAAACTCCCCACAGTGCAACCGCGGCTCAGCTACAAGGAGCCTAATGGGAGCGTGTCGCGGGACAGGACTCGACGAGCCTCACGCCGTCCTTGCCACCGCACGCGGCTGCCGCCATGAGATATCCCATCTGGAACACGGGGCACAATCCGTGTCGCCTGTGCGTGAGTCGACTACAACAAATGCACCTGTCCAAGACATTGAAAACTGCTTCCACCCGAGACACTGCGGTGACAGTGAAACCCATAGATCAGGAAAACCACTCCCCAGCTGCCTGGAATGTTGTTTAAGCGACTCCCGAGGTTCCAATAGACCAGTAAGTCTAGTACGTTTACGTATGTGTTTAGGCTTCTCGGCAGACGGGGCTACTGCACGGCCTGCTGGCTCGTCTACCGAGCATGCGCCGCACATCTTGCCTCCGCGGATCACCACTATGTACGTACGTACTACCAGAATAAGGAAGCAACATTACGCTGCCAGCCAGCCGTCCCGTCCTAGATGGAGCCAGCGTGCCAGCACCACCAACGGATGTATCGCGGGAGAAGAAGGCGTCTACACAAGATGGCGCTACGTGACAGGGGAGTGTCAGTGGCATACTGACGAAATCCTGGACTTTTCTGCCCCTTGGGATTTGACATTGGCTCGGTGTTGGTCGGTGCGACGAGAGAGATCTGCCCTGTCTTATTATACCGTGACTCGTTAGCCAGACGCTGCTCTCGAGGCGGCCGCTGCAGTGGCGGCGCGCCCCCGTGTCATGACACGTCACGCCACGTCGGATGGACTCGCCTGGCTCCGCTTGGTGTTTTGTTGCTTCACAACTGAAGAAAGTCCTTTATGTCCGTCCGTTCGCGCCTAGGCAGTATGGAGGCGATGCATGGACCTCGGCCGCCCCCCAGCTTATAGCAGCGGATCATTTGAGAATGGTGCTCGTCTCTGTGCTAGCCGCCAAGAAGCGTCAGGTGGCTACAATACCAGTGATATTAGTCGACGGCCAGATTTCGTGCCCAGAGGGTGGAGTCTTCTATTCTTCTTTGCCTTCCTTGCACTGGCCCCCTTCTAGAGGATATTCCTCGTTCCCCATGCCAGCCTAGACTCCATGCCAGAAAGAAGACCATGTGCGGCCATTACCCCCAAGAGCGTATGGTGATTATATATCAAAAGCGGCAGGCATCAACCATCATCAAGCCAGGAATGGCAGACCGCGGAGCTGCATGGTCCGTCTTGTCGGCAGCCGCCACAAGGGAACTTTCTGAGGCGCGGTGGAGACGAGAGTGATTTTGACTACATAGGAGATGATGGCCAGGTACGCAGGATTGGGAGGGGGGGAAACATGCATTTGTTTGCTTGGGGAGGGCGCCAAGTACGAAAGTCCCTTGAAGATCGTTGCCCCATCCATCCCACACACACGTCGGGCTAATACGCTACTAGCTACTAGCTCATGATGCTCCTTGCTAGCCATTGGCCCCTAGGGTATGACACGGCCGTGGCGATCTGCCAAAGTCAAGCGCCTACCAGCGAGGCTGTGCAATCAGCGAACATGTGGACTGGCACTAGAGTAGCGCCGCCGTCATGGCGGATGGATCGCGGTCATGAAATCGGCACTAAGTATTAGGACCGCGCTGCGAGTTTGGTGCATACCGTCGGATCGACGTCGAACAAGTGAATGAGTAAGTTCGGAATGAAGCAGTAGCCACTGATGGGATGAATTACACTATGTGTACATTTCGTAAATGTCGTTAATCGTTCGTGCTTCCTCCCTCCAATGTAGGGATGTGCAGCTTTTCTGCCTCTATGTGCGCCTTGTTCTAACCCGCCCCATAAAGGTCGTCCTAATAGACCGACACGCCGCGTAATCATAGTATGCCCGGGTATAATGCAATATTGTATGTAGTGAAAGGAAATAGCCTCTTTTCGTGGTAGCCGTGGTGGTTGGAGAGTCAGGCTCCTGTGCCGACATTCGTCGGGCTGGGTAAGTTTGACTGATTGACTTGCGTAGGACGTTCCAGAAAACCGGTAGTCCACTCCCGCATTCTCCGGGAACATGGCATTAATGCATGTGTGGAGATTTGTTGGAGATCCAGGCTTTTCGCTCACACGCTGGTGCGCTTTGAGGCTGACCCTCGGTATCGCTGGAATGACTCCAACTCCTCCTCATACGGGACCCCTTCGCCATCACTTAGCGTCAAGCCATCTTGCTGCATATGCGGATCCGATCCCTCGGTGCTTGAGAGAACTTTTCCTTCAGCGCTTCTGCCACTGATGGCGTCGGAGGTGACGCGGGCATTTGTGATCATGGCGGGAAGCTGACGCCTGCGCGCATTGATGAACCAGTTGGAAATTTGATCTGATGGCAGTTAGAACATGACTCGAATCCGTGCTGTTGAACAGAAAAGAACTCACTCATTTGTAGCCCAGTCTGACGCATCAGTTCCTGTTTCTCGTCTTCGGTGGGATAAGGGTGTGAGACGTGCGCGTGGAACCATGACCGTAGTTTGTCGGTCGTTTCTTTGGGAAGATTACCGCGGCGTTTCCGCTGCTTCTGATCATGAGGGGCTCCAGCGTGGCCCATTTCGCTATAGCGAGGGTACTCGGGGTATGAGTGGCGTGTGTACGTGCCAGCAGAGAAGGGAGAGCGCTCGTATGTGTGATGAGGGGAGCTTGCTGTATGCGTCTGGCCCGGGTGTCGGTAAGCAAAGTCGTAGGCCGGCCCAGCATGACGGTGCGTGTTCTCGGCAGCTGCTGGAGGCGGTGCTTGGTGTGGCTGATGAGGAGCGCGGTGAGTCTTCGTGTCTCGATAGTCCTCCAAGTGTAAGTCACGAGCCACAGGTCGAACAGCGACAGGCCTCTCGGTGCTCAAAGTAGGAGGGAAATTGGGGGCGGCAGGGCCGTTTTCCACGTGCAAACAGCGTTCGGACATCTCCACAGGAGCAGGAGGGGCCATTGGCATTGTGGCATGCGGTGATCGGGTTCCAGGAACCTGTTGTTCCCCATGGTGGAGGAGTCGAGGTATTTGCCTTGCCCGCAGTCTTTCGAACTCATCGTCGATGGGAGTTCTCCGCCTCTTGGTTGATGGAGGAGAGTAGACGTACGCCTGGGACGTCGAGTGCGCAGTCGGGGGGGTATGTGGTGAGATCTCGACGGAATGAACAGGTGATGTGCAGGGCGATAGCAAATCTCCAAATTGCTTCACTTGTGTGTTAGCAACGCATGCGAGAGATTGGTGTGTTACGTACGTGACGGATCGATGGCAGAGACACAGCATTCGAGCTTGAACTGTGCTGAGGATAAGACTGAAAGCGGGAGGAATCCCATGTGTATTCTTTGGCAAACCCAATGTGAGCCGTCGGTGCTGGTGCGATCATGGCCATCGTGGAAGATGGGGGTGACGTGTGTCGTATGGCTTTTTTGTGTTCTTGGTGTTGATTCGATTGGACTGCCACTGTTGGGCTATCATCCATTACCAGAAGGTACGCAATGGAAGGATGAGCTCGAGCCAGCCAACCAACAATCGATGGCGGGCAATGAAGGCAGAAGAGACGTGTCTACGGCGGATCAAGTCGAATCCACGGTGTTTGGTGAGAGAGCAGGTTGTGAATGTTGTTGATATTAGAGTATTCATAGGCGGTTTGTTTCGGGTATTAGATGGCCATGCAAGAACAAGAGACGCTGTATGAATTATTGAAGGGAATAAGACTTTGTTTGAGATCTTAGTGGACGCAAGCTGGGCGATCAAGGAGGTCCCAGATCTTTAAAAGAGCCACCACCAGATAGATGCTCATGCACATGTGTGGAGGCGGGGACCAGCCAGGACGGCTGCGCCAGGCTAAGCCAAATGGGACGAGGTGTGCGAAGCATGGGTCCGACGATCAGAACTTGGCTCCATGACAGCCAAGCCAATGCCCACGTCCGAGATGAAGAAAGGGACCCCCGTACGTAGTGTTAGTGAAGCATTCGTCGAGGGCAGGGTTGGTGGGTGTGAAATTAGCGTCCGGTGGCTGACTGAGGCTCCAGTCCCACGCTCATGGGTGGTGACACCTGACGCTGGGATCATGACCACGCTCCTGGGGTACACCATGCTCCAGGGGCTGACGCCCGGGGGCGTGCTCTCAGCTCCTGTCCAGCCAAGCAGAGGGACGAGGTCCCGGGTCCGTCCCAGGCTCCCAGCGAGCTGTCCGTCCCACGCTTTTAGCGGGTGAAGGTTTCCAGTGGGCCAGTGATCAGCAAGGGTCCCGGGATCTACTAATTAGGAAGCCCAGCGGAACATGAAGGAAGGCAGCCAGCTCGATTGTGTCTCTTTAGACGTCTCCCGCGCGCGGCTGCATGGCGGTTGACAGTTGAGGACAGCACCAAAGCCGCAGTGGTCTTGTTGTCGTCGCCGTCAGGTGACAAGTCGGTGCATGAGAAATCGAGCCCTATGGCAATGACAGCTCCGCTGCTATGGTTGTGGCAGGCTGAGCACGTCCACAGTTGCCACCCACTAACCTGCAGCGCTAAGGTGACTGTGCTATGGATGCCACCTGCTGGCCTCATCAAAAGACTGGAGTTGTTGATCTTACACTAATCACTCGAGGCGCGAATTACCAGCAGAGCAAGAAGATCAATCATCAGCCATGTGCAGCTGGCACGAAAGGAATGCTCTAATCCCCAATGGTATAATGGATCTGGCCAGGTCGCCGAACCTTGGTACGGTGGCGTGAAAGCTAGCACCGACGAACGCTAATTAAGTGCGCGGGCATCGGTGCCTGTGGCTCACCAGGATTCTTCGGATCCGGTCTGTTGATGGATTAGTATCATTTTACTAAAAACCAATACGTACAGTAGTGACGGTAGTGATGATTGCGCAGTGCCTCGAAGCGCGAAACCGCGCGTGAGATGGTCCACTTGGCAGGCCAAAGCCTCAGCGCCGGCTTGTATTAGCTCCATTCTCCAGGTCGTCCGTTTAACTTCGGGACGCCCATGATTCGTTGTTTGCTGCGAGTCCCGGTGATCAGTCGTCACCAGTGCACCCACCACCTTCAAATTTTCCAAGTTCTCGGGAGAATTCGACCCATGAGTTCGGAGCCTCGTGCGGCGCCCGCCGCGGCATGCTGGCTGCTGGCTTTCGCTAGGCCAACAATTCCGGTGCCAAGATCCTGGAAACCAACCCTCCTTTCCCATCGCAATTGCCGAAATCGACTGGACTCGCCAGTTCCTGTTGAGCTGTCCAGCGTTGGTTGATGTGGTTTTACCCTGTGTTACTGGGCATGACTGGAGTGTCACTGCACGACAAGGGGCGGCCGATGATGACCCTCTATGATGTGGGCTGGCAACCCCGGTCGCATGTCGGCGGGCCAATTGTCTTGTCCCCATGTGTGACAGGTGCCAGATCTTGAGAGCTGTCAAAATCTCGACCGAGGCGGACGCCCTAATTTTACGACCATCTTGCAGGCGGCGCCCGATCACCCAATTCTGCGTGCTGCGTGTGCTGGTCAGCACTTGCTTGCTTTTCCTTGCCTTGTACGACAGTACACAATCTCCATGATGGAACGAACATGTCCTCGTGTCCTCGAGACGGAGAGATGCGATTGGGTGGCCCTCGACAAGCATCTGTGCAAGGGAGGCACCGACGATCACCCGGGTGCGATCGGGCCCGAATATGTTGGTGGGGAGCTCTTGGGCTTGCAATTGGCAAATCGGGTGTACGGAACACAAGTAGCCGCACATAGCGCTGGTGGCTCGGGATACTCCTGTCGCTCATGCATCGTTTGATGGCCTCGCATGTCGGTATAGATGGGACATGCTGGTGGCGGCTGCGAGATCTAAAAGCCCGTCAGCGTCTCCTCAGGTGAACTGGAAGGTGTCAACGAGGTCGAAAGCTCGGATGCATCATGCTGTGATTATCAGCCCTTGTCTCGAGACGACCCAGCGAGCATGTGCCCGAGTGCCCATGGCTGCCATCCCGACACGTTGGTTTGGGCACACCGAGCCTTGCAGACTTTTCACAGCAAACTGCATCAAGATGGTCATCTCTTCGTCGTGAGGATGCAGTTGGCAGGGTGCCTTGCCAAATACTGAGTCGACTCGTTTCAAGACGCTCTGCGCCCGGATGAGGGTTCGATCCGAGAGCATGGACAGGAGATGTATCTCGCACAGCCACGAGCTGGTTGCCTGTTCACTCTGAGGAGCGCTGGAGTTTGTGTCGACTTGAGAAATGAGGGCTCCGATGCAGTGTCACGTCCAACGGCATCCCCATCGACGCACGACAACCCTCATGCCGGCGATGGCATACCATAAAGGGAAGTGGCTGCCTAGGTACCTGAATCAAAGCATGGACGGGAAGAAGGAACTGAGGAAGGAAGGTAGGCTGGGGCAGTTGCGCAGCTGTCGTCATGCTCTCGTGTGCCTCATCTCGTATGATTCACCTTTGTCACGTGCGCTTCATCAAGACAGCAGGTTCTCCGTCCGAGGTGCCTCTGCAAGGTGAACCTTCATTGCAAGATATGCGAGGTCGCCTGATACTTGCGATCACAATGTCCGGTCCCTGTTTCGCTCACAAGCTACAGGCTCGACGTACTGAATGTGCGAACCAAGGAGATGGAGAGCTCCTCAGTCATCTCCCATCTCAGCTAAGCTAGCATCACATCGCGGGATAACATCTCCCGTCGGGAATTCAAGTCTCATCCAGCAACCCGCATGTCACAAGTAGGCATCACGAACCACTTTCCCGGACTCTGTCCGCCCTCGGCGCCGGTTCGGTGCGACCATGTGCAACGACAAACCCGCCGATAGAGTCATCAATGAGACTTGTGTACCACCGCTTCGTCAGTCAGCCGACACGTTTGGCGTGTCCGCTCAGTCCATTTCCGGCATCCTGCATGTCATCAAGGCCTTCGGTGCGACTCCCATGTGACCCACGACGACGTAGCAGCGGAGAGGAGAGACTGCGGTGACCTTAGGAGTCTTCAATTCTGGCGAGTCGCCGGTGAACGCTTACGGAATTGGGCACACTGCCGGGATCCAGTCATAGTGAGCATCTTGTGGTGGCCGACAGTGTCACCTTCTGCTGGCAATGCCGCAGGTACGTTGAAACGTGTGGTCGACGCGGGTAGTCATCGCACCAAGAAAAAGATGCAACTGCCGGTTAAAATGCGTACGCACCATGCATGTGTACGTATCCTCCTTGACGAGGGTCCGGCCGGGTGGCTCGTCGCGCTACATTCATCTCTAGTATTCTTCATTTCTCTGCCGTCGTTGCTAGCCGTCTCCGATGCAGGCTGGCTCGCTGCATGAAGAAAGCGTCAGAGACTCGAAGAGCCTAAGAGGTCCATCAACGGCAGATGGGGGGCGTGGATGAGCGCGCGGCTGGCTGGGGCGTGCTCCAGAACGCACAAGCTCCATTGCCCGAGGCTCAGGGCACCTTGTGGATGAAGATGCCGTATCCTTGACGCCTTGAAGGAAGCCGTCGAAGTTCGCAGTCCTTCAGGCAATTGCGCTCGCTCAAAGCCGTTGTGTTGTCAGTTCTGACATTTGACATGCGTGTCAACCGTTTCGGGGCACTTGCGCCGATTTTGTCAGCCTCGGACCCCTGCCCCTGTCTCCAAAACATTGACCCCGGCGGCAGCTCCGTCCACCTTTCTGACCGCTGGCCAGGTCAGGGGTCTTCCGGCTACCTAGTGTGCGTACCAGTCAGTACGTACGTACAAAGGTACGTACGTACTGAGTCGTTCAACTTTGACGGATCAGTTAGATTAATGGAAGTATCATTATTGGGCCCTCATTCACATGGGGAGCGACAAAGTGCCTGCATTTCTTTTGCGGGGGTCGAACTGGCAGAGCTTTACTGTAGAGCAGGGTACTCGCGCCATGTCTGACGAATTGATACGACATTGTGCAACAAGGTCAAGCCTTGCAATTGCTGCGTCGATCTACTGCCGGAAAGCTCTTCGGGCCCGCAACTTGTGG